CTAGTTTGTAAGGGCTGCAGAGCCAAAAAACCTAAGGAGGCGGCTCGTGCTGTGTGCCGAGTACATGATTGAACACCCGACGGTTTCCTTTTTCTATGCAGAGATTTCTGTGAACAAATTAAATTTACAAATGGAATTTTATTTTGTTTTCTCACCTGCAGAGTCAAAGACGTAAAACCACCTCTAGAATTCCTGCACCCCCTAAAGAAGGTGAGATTGTGGGAGGTCCTGTGAGGGTATTTGTGTACTGAGGCCCGGCCTCTCCAGATCTGTGTGGACTGAAGGCACTCTATGGAATTTTTTCTCTGTGAACTGTATACAAAGTTGACAGTAGATCTGAAGGAGACCCTATAGTCACACACAGGCAGTAAAGGGGCTTTAAATGCTGACCTGACTGACCTCTCTAGCTGCAGGCACTGTGGAGCAATTCATCCTCAAACACGGCAGACTCTTTGAAGTTGGTGTCTAGTCTTCTGGCACCTGCTGTTGACACTAGAAAGCTGACATGCTGAATCCTCGGTTAACTGAGAGCCGATATCGCAACTGAATCTGTTTGGTAAAGCTCAGTGGCTCTAGTTAGGTGGCTCCCATGTGACTGGTGGCCTTCAAGTACCCAAGGCCAAGTCCTAAAGTGAAGATAACGGTACCACACACTGGTCCTCAGAGTCCAAAGTTAGTCTTTCAATTAGGGCTGCAACAACTAATCGACATAATCAATTATAATCGATTATTGAAAAAGTTATCAACTTTTTAAATCATCGATTAATCGGCTTCTGGTTAGTTGGCCCCGTTCACGCGCCGCACCTCCTCCCCACCTCACGTTTGCCGCTGCCAGACCCGCCCACATCCACACCTCCTCCCCGCATCACGCTCACCACCCTCCCACATCCACGATTGGCACAGGGACACGGGGGGAGAAGAAGTAAGGAGGAGCAGGTGTGGGGGGATGACAATTGCCGATAGACAGGCCCGATCTCAGAAGCAAGTGCCTACTTCTCCTAAGAGGGGGCTCCATCTGTACCCCCCTGAATGGGGGTCTTCCATCTGTACCCCAACCTACTGCTCACTACATGAATGGGGGTCTTTCATCTGTACCTGGCCTACAGCTTTCTAGATTGGGGGTCTCAATCTGTACCCCAGCCTACTGCTTTCTATATCAATGGGGGGTCTTCATTTGTACCTGGCCTACTGCTCACTACATTAATGGGGGTCTTCATATCTACCTAGCATACTTCACTTAGGGAAAAGGGGGGGGTCTCCATCTATACCCAACCTACTGCTTTCTGCATGAATGGGGGTCTTTCATCTGTACCCCAACATACTACTTTTTACATGAATGGGGGTCTTCCATCTGTACCTGGCCTACGGCTATATAGATTGGTGGGGTCTTCATCTGTACCCCAGCCTGCTATCTACATGAATGGGGCTCTTCATCTGTACCCAGCCTACTGCCCACTACATGAATGGGGGTCTTCATCTGTACCCAGCCTACTGCTATCTGCATGAATGGGGGTCTTCATCTGTACCCCAGCCTACTGCTATCTGCATGAATGGGGGGTCTTCATCTCTACGCCAACCTACTGCTGTCTGCATGAATGGGGGGTCTTCATCTCTACTCCAGCCTACTGCTATCTGCATGAATAGGGGTCTTCATCTCTACCCCAACCTACTGCTATCTGCATGAATGGGGGGTCTTCATCTCTACTCCAGCCTACTGCTATCTGCATGAATAGGGGTCTTCATCTCTACCCCAACCTACTGCTATCTGCATGAATGGGGGGTCTTCATCTCTACTCCAGCCTACTGCTATCTGCATGAATGGGGGGTCTTCATCTCTACCCCAACCTACTGCTATCTGCATGAATGGGGGGTCTTCATCTCTACTCCAGCCTACTGCTATCTGCATGAATGGGGGTCTCCATCTGTACCCCCAGCCTACTGCCCACTACATGATTGGTGGACTTAATCTGCACCCCGGCTTGGTGTTCTTTATTCCTGGATCTGATGTAATAAGGGATGTGGAGCTTTGTGTGCCTGGCAGTGATCAGCAACCCTCTGACACTTGGACCCATCTCTCTCCCAGGCAGTGAGGTTATAAATAAGATCTCTTGATGATCTTTCCATATACAAGCAGGCCCGTGTGGGCGCTCCGCTGGGCTCTATTTCTAGGTCCGGTGTGTTTTACGGCTGAAATGCAATCTAATGAAGTGTCACTGCGGCTCTATAGATTCGGGAAGTGAGCGAACACATACAGACGCTCGCTCACTTCTCGATCATCTCCCTGCAGAGAGCAGTGACTGTCACTCACGGCTCCCTGCAGGGATTCCCCGCTCCGATCCGCCAGCACTGACTGGCGGAACGGGAGGGGGCGGGTACAGCTGGCTCTGCCTCTAGATAGGCAGATCCAGCTGTCACTCACGCAGCTGGGCGGATCTAGACATCGATTGTCGGGATCGGCTGCGGCGTCTCAGTATACCGCGAGCTGTAGCTCCCTATATACTGAGCTTAGGGTGACGGGAGGACGCTAGTTTGTGTCCTCCCGTTACCCTATGGAGAACTATGGGGAAAAGCCCTGACCCCCATAGTTCTCCAAGGGTAAAATAATGGATGGCTCAGAGCGCCCCCACAGCGGCAGGCAGTGCTAGGTACTGCAACCAGAATGGTCTAATCACCTGTAATGTACAATGTGCGTGTCGGGCTGGCAGATCACATTACATAACATTAGACTGCTGCTGAATTGTGAATTTTTCATGACTGACGAGGAGCCTAATCTTCACTCTTTATTCCTGAAGTGACAACACCGAACCCTGTTGTAGCAGAGGGTGCAGCTCAGACAGGTAATGGGGTCTCTGCGGGCGGCTGCTTCTCCCAGCACATTGA